TATTTCGAAAAAGATTTTCAAAATTGCATTCCCCAATCGCATTTCTAAAATTACTTATCCCTCTATCTGTTTTTCATTTTTAATACCATTTTAAAAATCCTCAGGAAAACGCTTTAAAATTATTAGAGAACATTTAAAAGTATTAGCATAAAAAGATCATACAGGAAGATATAAAAAAATGGATAATTAAGAAACAGGTGAAGAACAAAGCGTAATCTGTGTTATAAGCTTATAAGCAATCCAATAACTTAGGGCAAGCTAATTACTTAACTAATTATTTTTAGTTGGCACTAGACGAATTGTTTGCTCCTACTATAATTCATTTATAGTATGTGGGTCGAATAAATTAAAAAAAAAGCTCGTGTTGTGTCACGTTGGCAGGCTGCGTACTCCGCTAGTACCCAAATGATTACGATATGCTTATTGATTACAATCACACATCATATACCTAAATAAATTGAGTAGAAGTGCTTGTATATATTGAATGAATTGCAATAAAGTTTTAGGCGTCTGATAGAATAGACTTAATCAAAGACTAAAACGTTCATAATCTTTTTTTAGTATGATAATTCAAAATTAGCGCATGGTTACCCTTGTCAGACGTCATACGGTACCATGTCGCGTGAAATTGTGTGGGTTAAGTTAATAGTCTATATTTATCTTTCTCTGATACAAGACGCCCTGTCTGTTTTGTATATTTCGAAGTACCTATTTTCGGACTGATTCTCCAAAAATAAATTTAATATGTGATTATATAACATTATAGTGTTTTACTTCAAAGTAATTGACACGAAATGTTTGAAAGCTCGCCCGCACATAGGTTCATAATACTTTTCATTTTATCTCCCTCTATCTATATTATTAGAATTATGATGTATTCATACCATCCGTAATGATTTAGTGATGAGACAAATAGAAATGCGATAATCGTATATCTTCTGAAATTTTTGAAACCACAATAACCTAATATATATATATAACAGCTCAATGCTGCTGTGTTTTGTATGGTAAGTGTAGAGAACCGGAGACCCAATTTACTGGATATGAGGCTTTCCATCTTAGTCCTCAGGGGTGAGAATGCATCTGCATTTTGATTCTTAATCGAGGATAGATGTAGATGTCGATGGGCTACAGCATCCACGTACCATCTGCTGGGCTTTGTGTTCGCTTGTCAACCTTATTGTATAAAATATATTTAATAGTTGATTGAATAAAACTACTTTTACGGATTCTATCGCGTTGAATTAACTTATTTTTATTAACTCCTGACGTTTCGGGTACTTTACAGCACCCATGGTCACGGGACTTAAGAGTCAAACATTAGATAACTATTGTGTATTACTTTTCTAGTACAAGAAGACATTCATGTAAGACCCCTTATTTTGAGATAGTACTTTTAATGGTTAACTTCCAGACACGGTAGATTTATTAAGTGGCGAAGCTTGCGAAGTCACTTATTGATTTCACGATGTCTGTCCATCTGTCCGTCTGTCCGTCTGTCCCACGATTATCTCGAGAACGGTTTCGAATTTTCAAATTCTGTTTTCAGCAATCGATTACTGATCACCCAGGCTGATCATCTGAACCTCCTATTTTGAAACTGATTGCTCAACGGCAACCGTTAGAAACCGCTACAAAGCTGATTGCTTCACCACTTTGCTATGCTGTTAGCTTGCTAGGTTTATTATTTATTGAATCAACTGGCATATAAGTTTTATTATAACAGCAAATAATAGATTTAAATTAGTTTTTCGATAATTGAACTACTTGCCCAAAGATGACTAGTACAGGTCTGCAGATCTTTTTTATTTTAAGCTCTACGATGCCGATTGCGTGGGTAAAAGCTAGTTAGTACATAAAAGAACAATCATGCTGTAAAACAAAGATGTCTTTCCCCACGTCCAAGTCTGTTTATTCCTTTAATCTACGCCGCCTAGCTGTTTAGATGTGAAAGCTTCGTGTGCATCAATTTCTTATTCACACAAATTAGTTTCGATTGTTCGCTACATACTTTTAATGTAAACCTTGTTGTCCTAATATACGATAGTCGATAGTTAATGCCTAAAAGTTGATACTTTCGGTGAAAACTCCTTTCTGAAAATTTGGTTATTAACCATCTTTTTTTGAACTGGAAATCAATACATATAAATAAAATTGAAGTGTCTGTCTGCGATATTAAAATGATAAGGCTTCGATTAAGTTCAGGGGATTATTAGCATGGTTTTAAAACATAACCATTTTAAAAATTTTTGTCTATCTATCCTTTTGTGCGGGCTAATCGCCGAAATGGCCGAGTCGATTGTTATAAAACTTTACGAACTGATAGAGCGCAATTCCAGGAGTGATCAAGGCTATATTTCATCACACAAACTTGGAGAATTATTTTGAAAAAAAAACGAGGAATTTATTCTATACTTAAATGAATGTTATATTTTATCCGAAAATTTTCCAACAAATTGATAAAAAATTCTCTTTAATTATCTTAAATCTAAATAACGTCACATTAATAGAACCTATGTCGCTAGTAATATCTGAGGAACTTTGTAAGGTACCACCTTGATAAATTTACTAATAATTTAAATGCCATTTGCTGTAGAGACTATCGGTCCGTGGGGTCAACGTGCGGTCAAGTTCCTAAATGAACTCCATCCGCGGCTGGTCGTTGCTGCTGGTGATAAGAGGGCTGGTTCTTTTCTCGCTCAAAGGTTAAGTATAGCCATTCAGCGGGGAAACGCAGCCAGCGTTCTTGGCACAATACCGCGGGGAGTAGGACTATATGATAATTATTATAGTTTTTACTAATAAGTGTCTATCTTACTATTAAAAACAACTATACGTGGTAGAGCCAAGCTGCAGCTATATTAGTACCCATACTCTCACAGAATACCAGCGTAAAATAACAGTTTGACACTGCTGTGTTTCGTATGGTGAGTGTAGAGAACCGGAGACCCTTTTTACTGGAAAAGAGGCACGGGTGACAACGCATCTGCATTTTGATTCGCAAACGATGATAAATGTAGATGTCTATGGGCCACAGCAGCCACTTACCATCAGGTGGACTGTGTGCTCGTTTGTCACCCGATCCTATAAAAAAAATGATAAAAAAATTAGGTGAATATATTTCAACCCTTGAAATGTACATACTACATTTTTTTACGTCACGTAGAAATCCTACAGTGTTATTACAAGTAAGCGCAAACCAATGAACGTATTATTTCATAATATTATTTAACTTTTGTTTTGTATAAATCAAAAATAACGTTCTTTTAGTTGATAGATACTGTAGTTTTATGATTGTGTTCAAACGCTGAAGAAACGCTGCACACAAAACGCCAAAGCCACTCCTTAGCGTTTATACTTATATTTATATTTCATTTAATTCATTGAAAAAACGTTACCTCTACACGAGGATTTTCTCCTGTGTCGTGGTGGCAGTTAACATGCATAAAATTTACAAGGACAAACATACAATCACTTGTAGGCCATAGAAATACTTGTTTCGTGCGGGTTTCGTGCCCGCTGCAACTCCTTTATATATAAAAATTACGTGTGACGTTGTTTGTCCGCGATGGACTCCTAAACTACTGAACTGATTTCAATGAAATTTTGCACACTGTGTGCATTTTGGTCCAACTTGAGAGATAGGATAGTTTTTATCCCCATAAGTGACCCTGACTATATTTTTTGGGTATTTAAGGATTTTTATAGGGCAGAGGGTTGCCGTAAAGGGCAGAACAACGTCTGCCTGGCCAGCTAGTAGATAATATACTATTCCGTCATATTAGAAAACGTGATTTATTGATAGTTTAAGTATTAAATTTTTTTTTTAAGTTTAAGAAGAGTCTTTCTAATGAAAGAGAGTTCCTTAGCCGCGGCGTCAATCTTCGCGAAATTCGACATTTGCTCTCAGAACCCATACTTAAAATTTTATTGAAACAAACTAGGCTAAATCTGAGACTAGTTTTAACCCTTTCCCTGTCCCATAAATCCATATATGAACATTTCGGTTGTTTAACTATTGTGCCTATTTCACGGGCAGGGAAACTGTTAAGCTACTTTTTGCAATAAGACGGATTGTGTCTAGTGGTTTAGTTTGGAATTTTAGTCTAAGCTATAAATACGGTTGTAAAAATTTTAAAACAAATTGTTGTATTTTTGGTTAGGATCCACTGTATTTGTATTATTCCTCTGTGGAAATTAAATCCTACAACCCAACGAAGCCTGGTTAAACAGAAGTAGAATTTGTGTAAATGTAGAAAAGTTTCGTAACACTGCGGAAAATCATGCAGATTCACATTTTGTATACAACAACAAAATGTTTTCAGAGTAATATACCGCCATAAGCGTAGAACTAAAAAAAAAATAGCCTACAGTCAAAACTACAATCACTGCAAATATTTTATAGGCAAATGAATGTAAAGATAGTTTTATGCGCATTTTAAACCTGGTATAATTATTATAAGGTGAGTGGTACGTACGATAGCATGAAGACAAACCATTACTAATTTTTAACCGCAAATAATGTAAGTAGGACAAAGACTAAAATGTCAACAGGACTATTATTTATGCATACGGTAAAACACATTAGTACAACAAAAACTGTAAACTCCTTATGTTACACAAAATGAGCCCCTTGATTACGCTGTTGCATGCAGAATATATAATAATAGCGGGCAATTTCACCTTCCAAGGTTTTTCAACAACGGGTGGAAATCCGTGCATATTCATGATGTGTTTCAATTTGGTGGAATTTGTTATTAATATGTATTTTTTTAAAACTTTTTTTTTTGATAAATGTTTTTTTCTTTGAATTAATTTTTACTAAATTTTTTTTATTTCTTAGTCATGCCAGTTTTATTACTATTAATAATTTATGTGGTTTGATAAGGATAAATGAGTGCCTCTAACACTTATCGACGCATTTATCTACAACGAGAAAGAAAATTTAGTTGTTAGTTTTAGTAATTTTATTAATTTATAAATTTTTAAAATCTTTTCAGTTCTTCTGATGTCCTGGTTTGGAGTGGACCAAGTAAAAGCAAACTCGTGCATCAGAACTGGTAACACGCGTAAACTAATTAGCATAATAATCACATGAACGTTACATAGATGTCCATATTATGTTATTTAGATGTATCTTATGTTAGGGCTGCGAGAACGAAATCATCGATAATGTGTCGATAATGTGCGCAAAATACGACACACAACGGACATTGCATGTTTGTTTCGTTTTATGAAATATATTAAACAATATTCCCTTATCTTTTATACCTTAAATAAATAAATTTAAATATATAAAAATGCAATACTGTGGTATTAGAAGTCAATATTATTGTAGAGGTAGAAGCAAACAAATTTGATTTCTACTATTTAGAATTACTATTTTGCTAGTGAATCGTGATGTTTTTTTTTTAAATATTGTTTTCTAACTTATTCTTAAGGGTTTTCTCTCGTCATAATGATATTTATGTATGTGTCCGTAGTGCCCTTTCATAAATCATATCTTCATAAGTTAAACGTGCTTAAAAATTTACAAATGTCGTATTCGCAGCCTTACTTACTTACCTATTTGTTTACACGTGTTGCGTGTCCACAGGAATGTGTTTTGCAAATGTTAAGAGGAATGGTTAATTTTGTTGCATGCAAAATATATATTTTTGATGTAATATTTTATTCAAAATTAAAATGTGTAACCAAACACTTAACGAGCATAACTTATTAGAAAACACTTCCAAGAGCTCCTGTGAATAACTGATGTTTTTATTTAATTTTATCAGAATTATACACGACATTTAGTGACTAGGTACATTTAGTGAAGTTTAGAGTACTCTATCTAAAAACGTACTATTTTTGGTTTTAGAATCCTTATATGAAATTTCTGCAATCACTTCTTGCTTGTAAACTTATTATATTAAACATAAGCTTATTCATTGTGGCAGGGTATACAATTAGTTTACGTGGTGTCCATGATACTATTAATAATATATTTAATTTAAATGCAGTGAACCATATACAATTTTTGTAGAGTCTATTTTGGCGATAGCATACATGCTTTATTTACATTGGCCATACCATGGGTACTAGGGTAATAGAAATACTTAGTTCCTATCAACATAAAAATAAAACAATGAAGAATTATTATATAGAAAAGTAAATATCATTAAAATAAATATATTGTAATAAGTTGAGTTAATTTAAAACTATCTCCTAACCCACTCAACGGTTACTACGTTTTTTTTTATGATAGTGGTTTAGATTCATACAAAGTTATTCACAGGACTATAGACATTCCCCTCTTCCCTCTCTGATAGTGTCTGTTTATTGTGTAGTTAATATGTGTTTGTTTTTTTGCCTTTAGTTTTCTTTATTACTAATCGGAGCATGGATTTTCAGCATTATGGGCACTATGTCTCAGCCCCCTTGTTCAGGCGGAATGCCAAAGTAAGTACTCGTTGTTTTCCGTAAAGAGACTATGTTTTATTGTATCCACAAGTGGCTATAAGCTTTTTAAGGAAGAAATAATTCATATTTTGTTATATCTCAAGGCTAACGACTTGATGCTATACACATTACCATGAGCTTAACTGTTTGTACGCTTTGCTAAGTTTTTATTATATCTTCACATATCAAAATGTGTAATTGAAACAAATTAAGGGTTGTTCAAAATATTTTATACGATTAGAGAAGATAATTTTGTTAATACAGAGTAAAGTTATATATGTTTTAAGAAGCCGTAAGTTAAGCGTTAATAAAATAATATTATATTTATTGAATTACAAATATTAGAATATTATGTAGCTGTCAAACATAAATAAATCTGTTTAAAAGACGTATACCTACTGGGAGATACTAAATTTTATAATCACATGGGCTAGTGATATATTTCCTTTCTCTTTTTATTTTATTGTGCAAGTATAAACAATTTTATTTTTATTCTAAGTACGTATATTATGTGTTTTTATTATGGCAAATGTAAGTACTATTTAAAATCTACTATACTTTAACGTATAAAGTTACTGATTTGTGTGGCTTTTAATGTGTATTTAGGATCAGGAAATTAATCAATAAATCTTTTATTTGACACACCTGTGAGTAGTAGTCCTTACACATGTATCGGTGTGCTATAATGTAGATTAATGATTAGGTATATTGGGTATTTTGCACCAATGACCCTAGTGGTCAGCGCTTTTAATGGATTTTGGATTTATGTGCCATCATTAAATGGGGATAGTCGTTTTTCTCACTTTAAAATTATTTTCTAAAAACTAAAAAGTGATAAAAAATAACCGATAATAATCTAGAAATAACACTTAGAACTGGACGTGAATGGCCCCAAAGTAAAATTTGGGAATTCGCGTTAATAATGCTGTTCAGGTCGTTTTAGTACCTAGTTAACAATTTCTTATTAATATTTAAATAATAATTTTAACAGATAGATTATAAAAGAATTAAGTGCTTTATTTATATTTATTTATAGGTGTCAGACAGGGCTGTGTGGCTTCCCCGTGGTTGTTCAACCTATTTATGGACAGTTGTTTGGAAAATTTGAAAGTAGAAGAATGCGGGTTAAGAATGGGTGAGTTAACCGTCAAATGCCTTTTGTACGCCGATGATCAAGTCATACTTGCGTCGTCGGCAGCCGAGTTGCAAATGATGGTTACATTAATGAACAGGACAACAAGAAAAGGGAATGAAAGTGAACGCAAGTAAGACGAAAGTTATGGTTTTTGAAAGAGAAGAAAGTAAAACGATATGTGAAATAAGAATAGAAGGGGAGTTGGTAGAGCAAGTAGATGAGTTTGTATATTTGGGATGTGTGTTTAGCAGGGATGGTAGATATGATAAGGATATAGAACGACGAGTGAATGCAGGAAATAGAGTGAATGGGGCTCTACACTCTATTGTGAAAAGTCAGAATGTGTCCAAAAAGGCACGTATGGCAATTCACAATGCTGTGTTAGTACCTACTTTAATGTATGGTAGTGAAAGTTGGGTGTGGCAGAAGAAGCATGAGAGTAGAATAAATGCTGTAGAAATGCGGTCATTAAGGAGTATGTTAGGGATGAAGCTGAATGACAGAGTGAGAAATTGTTTAATAAGAGAAGAGTGTGGTTTGCAAGATGATATTGTGACCAGGATTAAGAAAGGAATGCTTCGGTGGTTTGGCCATGTAGAAAGAATGAATGAGGAAAGAGTGACAAAGCAAATTTATGTTGCAGAGGTGAACGGCATAGTCGGGAAGGGTCGCCCTAGGCGAAAGTTTATCGACCAAATTGGCGATATATTAAAAATGGGCCAAATCAAGAGTACCTTTAACCGACGAGCGTGTATGCGTAGGTATATGGATGTGGAGGAAGCGAGAGAGGTGTGTCAGGATTGTGCCAAATGGAAGTCCATAATCTCTGCCTACCCCTCTGGGTGACAGGCGTGAGTGTTTATGTTTATGTTTATGTAGGATAAAAATGATGTTCCATGAGCCGATTTTATGTCTAGTTCTAAGAGCGTCTAGAAAGTCGCTTATCAATAGCCCTACCAATAGGCTATATTTATTATTAAAATAATTGAATTTTTAACGAAATATTCTATATGTTTAGAATAACGACTAATCCCTTTTGCTCACCTTGAATGCATTGCGCCTAATTAAGCAAGGTAATTTGCTACACGAACGCTCCCAGTTTTTTATGATATTCGTGATTTTTAATATATTATGTTTTCGCTGTATTGTTGTACTGCTTTTTGTTGCATATTATATGGCTTCATTGAAAATATTGAAAGTAGGCCCTTTTGTAAAATTACTGTTTTATTTTCATTCCCAAAACCAAGAGAGGAAAGTACGATCACATCTTTGTTAACTTTTTTTAGTCATTCAATCAAATGCTTACAACATTATTACAAGTCGATTATTGGTAAAATAATTTAAACATATTTTCACAATCTGCACACAATTCATATATTAGGAGTTAATAAATTTTTTTTGTCTTTATATTTTAGTTTAAGTGTTATTTTAATTTTGTCGCTCAGGTTAAGTATATAAGTCTGAGATCGTAACAAGACATGTCATGAATATAAAAACAGTGATGCGTAACTTGCTTCTTGCTTGGTGTCAGATAAAGTAGAGCTTTGCGTTACCTACTTGTTTTGTGCAGGCTTTTAGCTGCACGATGTTCTGAGTGCACTATGCATTCAACTCTCTTTAAGAGGTAAGTACCTATCCTTATAATGTTTTATTAATAAACTCCATACAAAATGAGTACTGTAGAATGAAATTACGAGATTCAAATTTAAAATTGTTCCATTATGTTAAGTAAGTTGAAGATTTGCAAATAATATTTATAGTTGCACTAAGTCTATAAGATATTGCTTAATTTTCATCAATTTGGTAAAATAACATTGATATTTATTTATTATCTATGAAACTCTTCTCGATGGTCCTTTTAAATTACGCAACGAATAGTATATAATATAAAAGAGATAGAACTGTATTATAGGCAAAAGCGTTTTATCGTATATTATAAGACCTTTAACATGTAATTAAAAAAAATTAAGATATTGAAAACTATGCAGCATAAAAATAAATTTTCCTTTCTTTTTGTTATATAAGCTGGCACTGTTTCTAGACTGCTATATAATACAAGGTGAAATATGACGCAATAGATAATCACATTTACAGTCTGACCAAAGCCTATATTGTTCAGGCAAACGTACTTCAATCCTCAGCCAATTAATCATCTCTATGTCCTTCAAAATGTTGTTTGTTTGTATTTTTTTTTTTACAAGATTACTAAAATCTGTTTGGGCTCTTTCACATTCGGAGTATAATATGTATAAATAAAAATCTTTTATATTACTTATATACATTCATTAATTTATTCAATACTGACTGAAATATTTGCTTTTCTTCTTCACATTGTTATGATCACTTTAATACCGAATCCAATTGTTTTGAAATTTAAATAATTATGACGTCTGTGTTCAGCAAAATCGATAATCTTTTATGAGACATTGTTTTTTTTTTTTAAATTCAATTAACCTAACAATTTGTACGAGTCTCTTTTCTAAATTTATTAGAACGTGTCGGATCTGTTTCCAAGCAACCAGCTACGAATATAGAATGTAGAGTAAAGTACATGTTACCAAATTTTTAACAATTTTTTTCGACATTCATGCAAATTTTTTTACTGCATCCAATTATATGTATATTCAGGTTTCTATTGATTTGCTCTTTACTAGTTAGGTCTACGGCCCATCTGTATCAAAGTACCAAAATGTTTTTAATGAATCAATACTTTTAATTGAAAATACTTTAGCGTAGAATTCTTATATATGTAATATTACTCAATAATAAAGAAAATAAAACATCTGTAGAGGCACTGGAGTAACTCAAAAAGTTTAATTGGTTATCATATTATAAAGCATAATGAATGTCTGTCCACAGCCCGCACCATATACTGCTACGAGTGTGACAGTTGGACAGACTTCCGGTGCAAAGACCCGTTCAACTACACCGCCCTGCCCAGAGACCAGCCGCCTTTACAGACTTGCAACGGCTGCTGCGTCAAGATGGTGCGATATTCAAAAAGTCGTGAGTATTATGAACTTTTTTAAATGTTAAAAAGGGTTTAAAGTGTATTTTTATTGTCATTTTCGTGTTTCTTTTTTTTTAGAGAAGGAGGCAACTCTTTGCGAAGCAATAGTATCAATATCCAATAGTAACGTCGTTGCTTAACCTGTCCTAGTCATAAAGTTTATAATAATTATTTTTAAAATTGAATCGTCTGTTGTGTTAAATATAATATTGCGCGTGTTGTTTATTAATTTCGTACCTATCTGTTAGTGACGTCGTCTTCGTTCCATGTAGCTAAGAATGTTCTATTTTTATTTACTTTGAATCAGGAAAAATATCATTCATTCACGAGCGGGCACTTTGGTTTCTTAATTAAAATTATTATCAAAAAATAGCACATTGAAATGGAGGCATAATAAGTATATCATGGAGTTTGATCCCAATCGGCACCACTGAAATTAATAATTGTTTTTTTAATTTCTGATTTACCACGTGCTTGCAGGTGAAGGAAAACATCGTCAGGGAGCTTGCGAACCTTATACATATGTATTGGTACTGTAGCCAATGGACATCTACAGTTTAGTTGAAACAAGAAAAGTTAGATACGTACCACCCATGAAAACTAAGACGAAATGCCAAATAACCTGTTATTTGTACACAATATAAGATTTCACTAACAGTTCAATTATGCTGTTATTATTAATATATTAATAGATTAAATATAAAAATATAATTATGCCAAATTGACTATGATATCGGGATGTCAAACACTACAGTTACGTAATATATAATGCAGTTCAGTTGTCCTGCAAAGCACTTAGAGATGTTTACTGGTAGCTGGTAGAGCCATGCTGCAGCTATATTATGGGTGTAGCACGAATGGGATAACTCGATCGGAAAAGGACCACGCGTCCAGAGAATATTACGATAAAATAGCAGCTCGATGCTGCTGTGTTTCATATGGTAAGTGTAGAGAACCGGATACTCTTTTTACTGGATTGAGGCATCCCAGTGTAGTGACAGCTCAGACGTGACAACGCACTCTGCATTTTGATTCTCACTCGAGGATAAATGTAAACGTCTATGAGCCACAGCATCCACTTACCACCAAGAAGACTGTATGCTCGCTTTTCATCCTTATTCTATAAAAAGATGTTAATCTATTCTATAACAAATTAATTTTTTAATTCCAGCATACGAGGTCGTCAGGCGCACGTGTACATCGCAATTACAAATCAATTTGTTCATGGTGGACCACGTTTGTATGATGGAAAGTACAGGCACTGGTCACATGTGTTTTTGCGAAGAGGACATGTGCAATGCGGCGGCGACTGTCGACATCACACTGGCGCTGGTCGCGGCACTAACCTTGCTAGCATGTGCATGTTGCAGGTGAAGTAGGAAGGTAGTCATGGCCGGTTGGTGTAGTCGATCGATTTGCGATGCTCGGTATTGTTGACAATGGACTCAATGTAATGCAATGTTATACATTGTTAATTTGAATAGGAGATATATTGAGATAGAAAATGTGCTACGTGTGTACAATGAAATAATAATTTAAAGATAATTATTATTACTGTAAGTAATTATCAATGTAAAGTGCGATTGACAATTGTAAATATTGTTGTCGATGTGTTGTCGTAGATCGATCGACTGACTCAAAAGGCGCGACCTTAGCTTAAATTTAATTACATTCTTCGTCCAATCGTAGATGTAGATTTAGCATTGAAGTGCTTAGTTTTCACAAATTTTAAGTGAATTAATGATACGTGCAATTTTTTGGCTAAGTGCAAGCATTTGGCATAAGGACAGCATTTGGGTATTTTATTAAACATTTAGTTAAGATCAAAACAAGCCTACAAATATTAGAATTTTTTAAACGTTGAAAAATAATTGAATTTTGTGTTGATAAAACCCCTTTTTTATTACGAAAATTTAGTGATATTATTTTATAAACAATATTACAAGTGTCATGATTTGTTTTGATCTTTGTTTAATAGTTTTAAATCAATAAAATAATTCGCACGGTTTTTAAATCTTCCAGCTGTCATGCGTTTCAATTAAGCTTTTATAAAATACAATTATAAACCATATTCTAACAATGATTTCGAGTGTGAAAATTAATTGCTTGAATTTGTATTCATCTAAGATTCCTGATTGATAAATTTTCCTTAATGGATAGTACCTGTATCCGAGGAACTAGTTAGATAGAAATAATTAATAAAACTTCCTTTAGCTTGTACATACATTGCTCTCTTACTCAATTAAATTGATAAATAAAGGTGTAATATCAAATGAAACTGGGAAATGACGAAGCTATTGTTATTTTTGCGGTCAGACTTAGGTGGACGAAATTGCTCATAGATACACTCTTACGATTAGACCTTGGACACTTATTAGATAGAAAAACAATGGTATTGAAATGAACTAGCGTGAACTGCCGCCAAATAGGGAATATAGTGTAATAGTTAGTTATAAAGGCCTTTACAGGTTCTTTCGTCGAAAAATTTAGTAATGTGATGGTAATAATAATTAGTCTGGATTTGGTTTTAAATTTTTCTGTAGTGTTACAACTATTTCAATGTTTAGTTGTAACCCAATATGTTTTAAAACAAATCTTATGCGATATGTTGAATCGTAATGATTTTATGGATTATTATCGCGTTTCATTTTAATTTATTTTTAACCGCTAACTTTTTGCGTGGTTTACTCAGATGAATAAAGAAGAAGAAAGAAGAGAACTGCGTACATTTCAAGGGATGCAAAAACGAAGTGCTCATGCTCAACTTATTGTTACAACACGTGCTCACGTACACAATACATGCATCTTAAATCATTTTCCATCAACAACGTAGTCCGACGTAGAACGACATATATGCGCTCTAAACGCATGTGTGTGACCAGCAGTTAACTTTTACGGACTGTTAAAGAAACAAATAATAAAGACATGTGCATGAGCGCTTGTCAAGAATTTGAGCCTGATTTTCGAGTCACTTGAAATGTATGCACCGCGCTATTTATCTTTATATTTGGGTCTGTGGTAGTTTGCAGAACGCATAGTCAGGGAGACTATACCTCAGTGGATGTCTCGATTTCAAAGATAACCCAGACCACCGGACAGTCCGGTCATTTCGGTTCCAAGTTGATGATTAAAAGTTGAAGGTATCTTGTATTAAATTTGTTTCATGATTCTTCTTCTTTTAAATTATGGCTTCTCTTGATAGAATTCTGTCAGCGTCTGTGAGTGTCGACGTCAAACACCTCGGTGTCATTCCGTGACCATTGCTGCTGCAAAGCACTTCAAATTCAATATAGGAAGTGAAGAATAAATTAAAATGAAACTATAAAATCCGTAAAATATGTTTAATTCAATGTACCTATAGTATTCGCGTAAATATAAGAATTCATTATACCATATATGTATACCTATATGCAAACTCAGAGTTCTATTTCTTTATTTAATGGTATATTTTGATACCTACATAATTAATTCCATAGTTAGTATTAATTAAAAATAATAAAAATTCTTTGCATTGCGTCACTTAGCCCAATCAAATGTAACAAACAAAACGGCCATGAAATTAATAGCAGAGTTTATAAAATAATTTAAAAAAAACTCTTTCAAATTAGCTACCTAATTTTAGGTAATCCTAATAGTAGCCATAGAAGAAATAAACGAACTCATTTTTGCCCAATGTGAAAAATTATTTCATTGCTAAGGACAAGTGTTACAAAACGTACATTTAGAAGATAAAGGGTAAATCACACTATAGAGTATAATAGTTATATATCCAAGTTTTCTAGATTTTTTTAATTAACAAGGAGTGAGAAAGGGGCCTACGGTGCACGTGATAATAATGAGCTGCAGCCCACAGCTCATTGACTCCATGCAACCCCTGAGTACTAAGATGAATTGCCATATACTTTGTAATTACATTCTCTATCTCTCACTTTCTCTCTTACTCTACAAACACAGCGCTTTGGCTTGTCGGCAGACGACTGAAGGACTCCTAGTCCCAGTTCGTTAATATTGTTCTGTGCTGATATAATATTATGTCTTAGAATAGCAACGAAATCTTCGGATATAACATTCTTGCGTAAACTACTCACACAAATTATTTATATCCTGTATCTATAGACTATAGACCTTGTGCTGAACACGCACACACCTTTAACTATCTTGTCCCCATCTTAGGCCCGCCACATACATAGCATACACAGCAAATCCATATATTATGTAAAATCAAAGATCTATCACACACATACAGTAGGTTTCTGTTCGAAATTTTGTGCTAAAAATGGGATTCCGAATGTATGTAGCCGGCTTCAAGCAATGCGATGATCGTAAACTGTTATCTACCACTAATGTGCATTACAATATTATATCGACACAAAATACAAAGTTTTGTTAACAAATGAAAAAAGTAATTTTCATAAAACAAATGAAAAAATGCCTTACTTATAATAGACGTTAATTAAATTCAACATTCAAGAACAAATTATATTAGCGAATTAAGTTACATACTTATTACAATATAGTTCTTTTTTTACGCTTTTAAGCAACATTTTTAGATATAAATGATATCATAACTTTATAGGTTATCGGTGAATTAGTTATAAGTAAAAACTTAGTGGGTTTACGTAAACGTAACCTCGTAAGGTTAGTTGATTTAAATTTAGGGACATAAACACCAAATAATTTTAAACAATAGGACATAGAGTAATATTTAATATATCAGCTTTCATTCTTTAACTTTACTCAAATGCTAGTATAGAATGTAGGCGGTATAGGTACTGAAAGTAAAAACTATCAGTTTCATTTACAGACAAAAAATAATTTAAAAGATATTTTTTAATCAATTTGATTTAAAAAAAAAATATCATTAGTCGTAATAAACATTGTGGGTTATAATTATAAAACATGTACATATATATTATATAATTAACGAAAGCGGATAGATACCAAAGTATTAAGTAGGTAGAAGAGAATATTGGCGTGAATATTCAATAATGTGTATGGTCTTCGACTCTGAATTAAATACTTAGGTAGTTTTTAATCTTACATAATATTCGTATCTCGCTAGTTATCCTTAAATTTTTAATGAGTAGATAGTAATTGCGACTATGCTGAGGTCGAAGGAATAAAATTTACGTCATGTTTCTTATTTTTTAGCTCGCTTAAATAATGACTTAATGAATTTTTGTAAACAATGTCAGGTTTTTTGTTAACTAAATTAATGTAATTACTTAAAGTTACGGAGCTGGTGGTAGAAAATTTTAAATGATGATAAGTGTAAAATATAAAAAAATTAAACAATATAATAAATATTTTTTGTCATTATTTTGTTAAGGAGAAAAATAAGGGGTATGTAGGTACAATTTTATCGCGTTTGTCTTGGCGAGACTGTAAAATTTAAAATAATGATATGTGCAAGTATAGTGGACTTTTAGCCCGCTGCTTAAAAAAATGTTCCGAGCCAAAATGTGCCAAACGGAATAGTTAAGGAATCACCTCGCTGACTCTCTCTATCTCTTTGTCTATCAGAGACGTTTTTTCTCAGATTATGGATAGATAACTGAATTTCAGGCATATTCAAAATTAGAACTTTCGACATAATTTATTAGAGTGCATATATGGAGCTTTAGGCAATGCACCTTTCTGGAGTCTAGGACTAAGCTGAACGAGTAAAGATTAGGTACCAACAGAGTTCTCTCCGTTGCAGATTTGACTTTGTAGTGTTTGTAATTCCGATGGAAGTTCTTAACGATTTTATCCTCCCGAATGATAATGCGATTTAAAGTTGCCTCTACCTTCTGCTATTCACATAGATTGAAACATTATTATGAATATTATTATCAACTACGGCATCCATGATATTGAAATTGCCACCAGCTCTCTAACTATACGTATTACATACTTATTTTTATTTTATACAAGGCAGAGGTCTTAGATATTTTATTATGATTTTATGAGAAACTTCGTGATCTACAGTGAAACAATTTCCTGTATATATTGAATAAAAGAGTGGCAACCTAGCGTCTGAATATAATAATTATCTGTATTTTATATCTTTGTCGTCAATCTACCATGTCTAATTTTGTACTAAAGAGGTTACGATGTAAATTGACTATTGAGTCCGATAATTATTTACATTTACATTTTGTATTGGTTATTTCTTTAAGGAAGGCGTGTATATTAAAAATAGTGACAACCTTTTCAAATGACATTAATTAATTATGTTCATTCATTGCATGTTTGAAAAACTTTAACAGTTTTTATCTAGGTCTAGCATGAGACACTGCACTGTTATTGGGCCTGTCACCCAGCTTTTTAGGTCACCAAAGAATGACGGAATGCAATATATCCTATCGTATCTCATCGCATTCGAGATAGCT